AATTAAGTATTCTGTTAGAATTTAATGATTATACTAATTATATTTTAGATTTTTTATATTTAAAATGAGATGTTTATCCTGTATTTGATTGTGTTTATTTGTAGTTAGTTACATGAATTCAAATATGGGATGAAATCGGATAGGGATGAAATCGTTTAGGGATGAACAGGTTTAAGAGTTTTTAAGAATTTTAGCCAAATGCTTTATAATATAGTATAGATATATATATATATATATAGGGTATATTTCTTTTACAACCTTGTGTATTTGTACAACCCTTGCAACCCAATTAATTGAGATATTTATAGATCTGATGGAAGTTCATTTATTATGATTTGAATATTTATGGAATATGAATAGAGTTCATTAATTATGATTAATACTTTATATTAGGAAACAATCAAAACTTTTATGAAATCACATATTCATCAAATCAAATGGACGGTTAAGATTGGGTTGTATTGGTTGCACAAATGTCAAGGGTTGTATAATAACCAAATATATATATATATATATATATATTTTTTTTTTTTTGAATAAATCAATTTAAGCCCTTTCAAATTGGACGACCTGGAGGAAAGATTCCCTGTATGAGTATCCATACTTAACGCATGCACCCTCAACGGCTCCACCACCCCCTTACCTATACATACCCCTTCTCCGCCCTCCATTTCTCCACACCACTCCATCCATACTCGCAATACAAAACCATGGAATTCATTTCCATTACCATCTTCTTTTCTTTATGTATTCTTTTCGCTTCTTTCTGCTGCTTCTTCATCTTCTTCTTCACTTCCTCCGCCGCTGACGGCCGCCGGAAATCCCTTCCCCTCCCTCCGGGCACCCTTGGTTGGCCCTACATCGGTGAAACCTTTGAACTCTACTCTCAAAACCCAAATGTCTTCTTCACTTCCAAAGTCAAAAAGTAAGCCCTTTTCATCACCATCTTCACTTTCTACACTAAATTTGGTTCGTTTTTAACTAATGGAAAGAATCGAATTACGGGATTCGTTTGCAGGTTTGGTTCAATCTTCAAGACCCACATATTAGGATGTCGTTGTGTGATGATTTCAAGCCCTGCTGCTGCTAAGCTTGTTCTTGTCACCAAATCTCATCTGTTTAAGCCCACATTTCCGGCTAGCAAAGAGCGAATGATCGGAAAACAAGCCATTTTCTTTCACCAGAATGATTACCATTTCAAGTTAAGACGTCTTGTCCTCCGAGCATTCACGCCGGAATCAATCAGACACATGGTTTCCGACATCGAATCCGTCATCGTCGACGCCCTATGCTCATGGGAAAACCGACTGATCAACACTTTTCAAGAAATGAAAATTGTAAGGAGCTGTTTGGTTGGTTTTACCTTTTAAGTCTTGTACGGATAAAGTTTTATTATTTATATAGATCGGCAAGATTTTTGTTTGGAGGGTGTTTTCATAGACCGAATAAGCTCTCCTATAAGCTTACTGAATAAACAACTTTCTATATCTCTAAGTCACTATCAAACAGTCAACCGAATAAGTAGCGAGTTCCATTAAGCTCATTAACCTACCAACAAACAGTCAGATTAAACTCAAAACAGGGGAAGGATAAACACTCTGTTTTCTGATGCGTTTGTTTCTGATCTCCAGTTCACATTTAATGTCGCATTGCTGTCGATTTTGGGAAAAGACGAGATGCGATATCGAGAAGATCTCAAGAGATGTTATCACATTCTTGAAAAAGGGTACAATTCGATGCCGATTAATCTCCCCGGAACACTGTTTCACAAATCAATGAAGGCCAGGAAAGAACTAGCTCAGATCTTGGCCAAAATTCTGTCATCCAGAAGAGAAACCAAGAAAGAACAAGACAAGGATCTGTTAGGTTCATTCATGGAGGAAAAAGAACGACTGACCGACGAACAAATCGCCGATAACATCATCGGAGTCATCTTCGCCGCCAGGGACACCACCGCAAGCGTCTTAACTTGGATCATCAAGTACTTAGCTGAAAATCCAACCGTTTTACAAGCAGTGACTGTAAGAACTGCAATCCCCATGATATATATATATTATATTGAATTTGAATGAATTGATAATAGTTTAATGAAATCGATTTGGGATTTGATAGGAGGAACAAGAGGCGATAAAGATGGGTAATGAAGACAAGGGTTTGAGTTGGGGAGATACCAAGAAGATGCCGATTACTTCTACAGTCATTCAAGAGACACTCAGAGTTGCTTCTATCTTATCTTTTACCTTCAGAGAAGCTGTTGAAGACGTTGAATTTGAAGGTTTTACCCCTTAAAATTCAAATAAAAATAAATAATTATTATTAATACCCAGTTTTAGAGTTTTACTTGTAAAACTTAAAAAACTGGGTATCAATATCTGATTCTAACATTATATATATATATTTTCAGGATATCTAATTCCAAAAGGATGGAAGGTGTTGCCATTATTTAGAAACATTCACCACAGTGCAGATAATTTTTCTGATCCAGAGAAGTTTGATCCTTCAAGATTCCAGGTAAATTAAATTAAATTAAATAAAAGAAGATATTTATTGAATATTGAAATAAATTAAATAAAAAAGAAAATAGTAATGAAATGGTGACGTGTAATATGAATGGACAGGTTGCACCAAAGCCCAATACATTTATGCCATTTGGCAGTGGGGTCCACTCGTGTCCCGGGAATGAACTAGCCAAGCTGGAGATTTTGGTGCTCATCCATCATTTGACCACAAAGTACAGGTTTGTATTTGTCTGTTCACATTTTAATTTTTTTTACAATTAATTTCACATAAAAAATAAATATTTAATAGATTTAAATTAATAAAAATAGTTATTGAATTTAATCGAATCGGATCGGATCGGATTGGGTTTTGTACGTAGTCGATTTTATACGAGAATCTGACAATCGACTGGTTTAATTTGAATACTGAAATTTTTTAATCGATCAGATCTAATTCCGATGTATACACATCTAAAAATTACTAGTTGTGTACCCGTGTCATGCGTCGGAAGCCATGAATTTTTAATGATTTTAAAGTTTCACTGGTTTTATTAGAGAAGATTTAACGATGATATAAGTTACATTTGGTCTTTACATATTAATACAATTTAAATAAATAAAAGTTATGGTTTCAATTACAGTCTATCGATAAAAAAATTAAATGACAATTTAAAATCCAACATATTTAAACGACTTCACAAATGTATTCGTAAATAATAAAATTACAAATACTATGATTATGACAAAATACGTAATTTTGTGCAGGTGGTCAGTAGTTGGTCCACAGAATGGGATTCAGTATGCCCCCTTTGCACTTCCTCAAAATGGCTTACCCATTAAGCTCTCTCTCAAGTAGTAGAAGAAAGTCAACGCTCAATTATCATTTGACTTTCTTGGTCAAAGGAGAGAAAGAGAAGCCCAACCATGAAGAGATATGGAATTTTGTTCATTTCCAATGAAGATTAAAGGAAACAAATTGTACATATAAAAGTCTCCTTAACTCAGAAGTAAGGGAAAAAAAAAAGAATTGTGTCTTTTTGTAATAAATAAAAGTTCGAGGGGGTGTTAGGTAATATTTGTTTAGAGTGATAACTGATAAGTTGAGCTTTTCATTAACTTTTCTTGTACAAAGTCCGCAAGGCATTTATATATGAAATTTTATCCCTTATTTTTTACATTTTGTCATTTATGGTCCCTAACTTTTTTGGGTTCATTTTTATTTGATTGTTTATTGTCTTTGATTTTATTACAAACGGAACATAATATTTTTCATGCTACCAAAGAGATTTTTTTATTAACCTGGATATCCAACTCATTATATGAGCTGATTAATCCTATGGCGATCATCTGCTTTGCATAGAGCCCGAAGTCACTGCAATTGAACCTTCGTGGCCATAAGGGGATTTTTATTTCTTGTTGGATTTGAACATGTGACCTCCTGGTACCAAAGAGATTTTCACTAGTAGAATACAATAATTCTTCTTCTACAGACAGATACAAATATACTGTTAAATGTGTAGTTATCTAATCCTTTTATGTTGGATATGACGACATATTCACGATGTGGATTCAGAAACAATATGGTTTGATCGTAAACCACTTTTTTCCTCTGCAGGCATCTATAATAAAACTATAAGTAATACAGTGATTATGACAAAACATGAAATGATGTATATTTTTGCACTTAAGGCTTGCCCATCAAACACTGTCGAGTAATAGAAAGTCAATGCTCAATTATCATCTGACTTTTGACTATATTGGTCAAAGTAAAGAAAGAGAAGGCAAATCATAAGAAGTTATGAAATTTTGTGCAACTCTGATGAAAATTAATGGACAACAATTTATATATATAATGGTCTCGTTAACTCAGAAGTAAGAAAAAGAAAAATTTGTAGTCGTTCATAATAACTAAGAAATTTAACTACAAGGGTGGTGTCTGATTGGTTTGAGCTTGACTTCAAAGGTTAAATGTACCAGGAGGTCCCAGGTTCAAATCCAATGAGGAATAAAAATCCCTCTATGGCCATGGAGGTTCAATTGCAATGACTCTGGGCTATCTGCAAAGCAGGTGGTCGTCCTGGGATTAGTCGGWTCGCATAACGGGTTGGATATTCAAGTTAATAAAAAAAAATAACTAAGAAATTTGGGGGAATAGATGTTAGGTAATATCTATATAGAGTTTTTTCAGTAACTTATTAATGTGCTAAGTCCATAAGGTATTTATAAATGAAATTTTATCCCTTATCTTTTACATTTTGTCATCTATGGTCCCTAATTTTCTTTGGGTTAACCACAAGGGTGGTGTCTGATTGGTTTGAGCTTGGCTCCAAAGGTTAAAAGTATCAGGAGGTCACAGATTCAAATCCAAGAAGGAATAAAAATCTTCTTGTGGCCACGGAGGTTCAAATGCAGTGACTCTGGGCTATCTTCAAAGCAGGTGGTCGCCATGAGATTAGTCGCTTGCATAGCGGGTTGGATATCCAGGTTAATCAAAGAAAAAATCTTTGGGTTCATTTCATTTGCTTGTTTATTGTCTTTGCTGTGATTCCAAGCGGAAGATAATACTTTTCAAGCTACTGAATAATTTTTTGTAATAAAACATAATAATTCTTCATCAACAGATAGATACAAATGTCCTGTTAAATGTGTAGTCACACAGTCCTTTTATGTCGGATGTTACGACAAATTTATTATGTGGATTCAATAACAATATGGATTACTGTAAACAACTTTTTTTCGTCTGTTGGCTTCTATAGTAAATCTAGTAATTGTAAATCTATGACATATTGTACATAACCTATCAAAATTAAGTTGTAATTTACTATGTCAAAAAGTACCATTCGGTACTAAAAACTAAGGGAGTGTAAGCTATGTACTATTGCACCAAACAAAGCATGAAAATAAGAGCTTCTTGAATGATATTTTGAATATTTGAGACAGTCTTTTTCACTGTTGACTCTTAGAGGATTCGGACAAAATTGATATTAGGTCATAAGTCATAGCGTTTAGGCTACAACAACTTTATCACCTAGACCATATAATGATCAACACGTTTGCGAAGAGCATGTTGCCACGGTGACACTGTCACTGGTTGTTGTATTCATAATTATTTGACATGTTTTTTTAATAAATTATAAATGATAAAGATATATATATTTAAAATTATAAAGTGGTGTTGATTGGCAATGGGTACAAATTTTGAAATTGGTTCGTAATTATAAGTGGATGAAGGTCGATCTTCTTCGAAGAAAGACAAAAATGTCCCTCTATTACAAAAACACTAACACTGAGGCCTATGGAATCAAAAAAGATTTATGGCTTAGAGGTGTTCTCACCAAAAAGATATCCCTTCTTGACATCATGTGAGACTGTCCAATTTTCATGAGAACACCTTGGAGACCTCGGATTAGTTGATCTAGATGAATCTTCACAACAAAGTTCTAAACTTGCACAGTAAAAAACATTGAACCTTCATATGAAAAAAAAAAAAAAAAATCAAACCTTCAATTATAATTAATAATAAGCAAACTTTCACGTAAGAAAGTATGAAAACTCTGGCGAACTTTCATAGGAAAAACACACCTTGAAGGTTCAAAAAAAGTATGAAAACTCTGGCAAACCTAATATTGACAACAATCTTACAAAAAGTGGTTGATCACATCAGCACCCAACTATATATAAATATATATACACACACACACACATATAGGGGCCTAATCAAATGAAAAATAGATAGTTTGTGGTAATTGTGAGGTCCAATGTGAGCCAATTATTTTAGATAATTAATGTTATTATTAAAATAAAACAAATGGTAAATTAGTAAATTGTGTTGATTATTTAATATATTTTAATTTGTTTAATTATTTTAATATATGATATATATACACACACAGAGACACATAGGGACCAAATCCGGTGGCCTTCTTCGGCACCCACCACCACTCTGTTGACCTCCTCTGGTCATCTTGTCTGACCAAGACACCGTCTCCGATGATCGACCACTAAGCACCCACCTGTGACAGTGGTAACACAGTTGGTATCACAGTGGTACCACAGTTAGGATCACAGTGGTACCACAATTGGTATCATAGTGGTATCACAGTGGTCTCAAAATTTATTTGGTGTGTTTTGGATACCATATTGTGTATCTTGGTATATTTTGGGTATCACATGATGCCCTCGGAGGTCAGAGATAGGAGAGAGAGAAAGAGGAAAGATAAAAAAAACTTAAAATATCTAAAATGCCCTTTAATTATAATTTTAAGTCAAATTACCAAAAATATTAGTTTCATAATTTATTTATTGATTTGTGGTTAAGATTGGATCTCACAGTTATCACAAATTAATCAGTTTTCCCTTGAATGGACCCCTTAGAGAGAGAGAGAGAGAGGTCAAATCAAATATAAACTATGCAAATGTTACAAATATACAAACCAATCAATTAAGATATTTATGCAGCTGATGAAGTTTTATTTATTATAATTTGAATATTTATGGAAGATTATTTGAATTCATTAATTATGATCAAGACTTTATATTAAAAACAATCATATTTATGAAACCAAATATTCGTTATACCAGATGAAAAGTTAAGATTAATTTGTATGGTTTGTAATATTTGCATGGTTTGATAATAGGAGTTAAGATGAGAAGTGTAAGAACTGATTTGAACCATTGATCACTTTTAATCTCAAACAACACATGAATTGCGCTTTAAAAAAGAATTGATTCGATGCTTCTCATCAGTATTGACTTATTGGAATTCTTCAATTACCATTGATCCTATGATGAAGATCTCTTCTCACCATAACTCACATTCTCCTGAAACCCAATCCCATATATATAGTGACAGTTGCATAAAACCATGCCATTAATCTTGTAGGGTTTATCTTCGAGGATTTATTTTCTAACATCGAATTGTGACCTTCCATCTTCAAGATTATCACAATTTATAATACCAATTTCTCACCACTTAATCTTTAGTGTTTCATTTCTAATTTGAAATCAATGCTAAAAAAATACTTCTTTGAAAATAAAGTTTAAATTGATGACATTTTATATTAAATGTATAAAGTTTATTAAATGGTAATTTGTTCACTTTTCAAATCATAATTTAACAAAATAATACCTACTTCTCTTTTTATTTAAAATATAATTAAAATTGGAATTTAATATATTATACCAAATAACTAGCATTTTATTTTGTTTTAATTTGATACTCATATTTTTATATACTTTCATCCGTTTTTAACTAGCTTGGAAATTCTTATAATACAATACTACAAAACAACAGTTTTTTCCGACGGTCAGATTCGTCAGAAATCCATAAGAAACTCAATTTCTAGTGGATTTGTCGGCCGAGAAAAGTCTCGCCAGTAAAACTACTTCTAGCAGCAATTCTGGCGAATTTTCATTTTCCGGTGTATACAGCCACTAGAAATTCGTCGGAATTTTTTTCGATATTTTCCAAATTCTTGAATTAATTAGGTGGATTAATAAATTTCTGACAGAAATTCCGCCGGTGATTTTATGAAAAAAAATTATGCTTATTTAAAAAATAATTTGCTTTTTATTTTCTTAAAATAAAAATAAATTACCGACGGATTTTCCATCAGAAAAAATCCACCTATAATTTAATTACTTTATTATTTATTTTTAGTGAAATTTTAAAAAAATTACTGGTAGATAATCCGTCACAAATCCGCCAGAGAAAAAATCCAGAAAATTTTGTTGATTGATTTCATAATATTAAAATAATATAAATTAAAAAACACTGCTAAAATACATTAATGACTAATATGATTATCCAGACGAAATTACTACAAATACAAATTGTTCAACAAAATTAAAGTATGATTGTTCTGTGACAAGAGTTTATAAATACAACCAATGTATCAAACCTATTGCCGTGGACTAGGCGAAAACTGCTGAAATTGTAAACCTTCATTATATCCATCATCTCTGCATGCTTTTTCTTTCGGTCTCCTCGTCCCTCTTTTGCATCTCATCTTCCTTCATTCGGACCTCCTCTTGAAGGAGAATTTCATCATGCTCCTTCTGTCGGACTCCTCTAAAATGTGCAATTCTTAAACTTGGGATTGTAACTCGTTAATTACCTATAAATACAATAAAAACGTTAGAACCTTTAATGAGAAGTATAAATGAAATAGATAAACA